TAACAATAGTGCTGACATTATGTTTGTGTTATGGGGTTAAAGGAATTACTACTTAAATTTAAAAACAAAACTTGCTACTTTTATCATTATAGAGCTATCAGCAACTCTCTTTTGAGTTATCCAATTTATTCAGGTATTAGCAAAGAAATCCTCCATATGTGTGCAGAGAGATAAAGAACTCAATATTCACCAATTCTTTTCTGTACTTATTCTTACTTGAGGTTGGCAACATTAGTGAAAACTACTGTAATGATTGTTTCTTGTGGCCACGAAAGATACCTCTTGAACTCGGCTGACTACAGGGTGATAAATGACTCATTTTGAAAATTATAGTAGTGATATATATTGTAGCAAAATAGAGAATACGAGCTCCATCCAAAAGAGGTGACCACTAGTCAGCTCTAAAGACTGTTGCCATGCGCTTCACAGAACTCACACACACCACATAGGTTCATATATAAGTAAAAACAGCTTATTTTTTAAGCATGGCAGCAAATTTAAAGCATTATATTTATTTTTTGGAATTCAAAGTCATACACACACAGGTACACACACATATACACAAACAACTATACAACTCTATATCATTTATGTGCTGCAGTGTGGCACATGATATATATTTTACAAACATACATGCACATACTCCATAAATACATAGTTCGAGAGTTGTAAAATTGTGTAGTTGTACAGATATAATCATAAGCATATCAAACAGACACACAGGCAAAAATATGTGTGCATGTATATATGTGTGTGTATGCACAGACATGTATAGCTACAATAACTTTTTATAAATATCTCTCTGAAACCATATTTTCTCTATCACAGTATCTCATTTATTGACTTTCTGGAAGCATAATATTTCCCCCAATTCAAATAGTAATTTTTCCACTAAAACAAATTCTTTTCAATATTTACATCTTAGATGCAGAAATAATATTATTTGTCATCCAGTGTTTTCATGTGAACTTTATTATGTCACACCGTTATGGTAATTGCATTTATAATTCCTGTAGTCTTTTGACTTGAGTTTACTCATGTATTGATTTTTCTCTGCTGAAATAAACTTGTAAATAAAAACCTCATTTAAAAATGTGAAATCTTCAAATCTGAAATAAATTACGATAACTTACAGATGAAAAAGCACACCAATGCAAAACAAAACATAACTGAGGTATGATTTCAAGGAAATTTAACATGCTCATTTGATAAAAGAAACACCGCAGCAGCAAGGTTTAGGATGCATCATGCAAGCACAGAGGCCACACATTACTGTAGCGTACATGCATTCTTCCACCTGAATTATGTGTATGGTCATGGCTTTGATGGAACTGTATTCTCACTTGAAATACTACATAGTCTGCAAATACAAATTTAGGAACAGATGGCATATATCAAGAGCTTGCTGAGGTAGTAGAAGTCCTTAATCATATTTGGTGATGCAGCACAACATAGTGAATGAGTAAGTAAAGAGTTATCCTGGAAATTCCAGGAATGAGGAAGATCTGTTTACACACTTTTCTCTAATCCCTGTTTCCATTATTATTGGTGCTTTGAAGAAGTCCTGTTGTCTTTGTTTTCTGTTTGTTTGCATTAGTGCATGTGTTTTTGACATTTTCTTTGTATTCCTAAGCTCCAGACAAAAAAGATCTTTAAACAGCATCGTTTCATTTACATAGGGAAGTGGGGAAATTAAGCATAGCTGTGCTACATAATTTGAAAGATAAGCTGACTGCGTATAAGAGAGAGAGCAGAATCTGGCAGTTAGGAGCTCATTCTCTGAAACTGTGTTTAGACTTCAGAGCTACACATTAGCTGTGTGAACGTAGGTAAACTCTTATTTCTCTGTACCTCAATTTCCCCACTTGTACACAGTGGTAGTAATATATCACCTAATAGAGCTGTTGTGAATCCTAAATATGTGCTTGTTGTTGTTATTATGAATAATTTAAATAAGATGCTGTGTGAAAATTTACATTTCTGTAAAGAAATATTGTAATTTCTTTACAGAAATGGGACTTCTTGTCAACTAATAAGGTCAACATTATTAATGCATTTTCTGTGCTGCTATATGTATCTTTTATAAATTGTTCTCTAAAGGGCCGATTTATAATCTCCAAATGTAACATCAACTGTAAATATTCTTTTAAAAAATGGAACGTGAAACACCATTGAATCAGATGCCTATGACACATAGTATGAGGATTAAGCTGATGAGTTAATGGTTTGTTTCTATCAGAGAAAGCATTGCAAAATGCAGAGCCATTCATGGGCCAGACAGAAGGCCCCTGCAGCAGACAGACTGATGCAGGAATAAGGGCCAGTCATGCCTGAGCTATGGAAAAACATCCTTACGCTGTCATCAGAAGTTGCCTTATCTATTATCACCTCTGGCAGAAGCTGTCCATTGGGAAGCATGAGGGCTGAGGGTCCATCAACCAGGGAAACCACACCATTGCAGTCCACGGCACTGTGCATCTTCCCGTTCACTGGCAGCATTGGGGGGGACCTACTGGCTTGGCTGATGTTACTGCTGCGCCGCTCCCGGAATCTCGGGGGCAGGAAGAGTGAGCCCCGTCTGCTCTCATTGTCTCCAAAAATGCTGTGCTCATCATCAGCAAACTCAGTCTCAGATCCTATGTCTTTTCCACGACCCTTGAAACTGAAAAGACTTGTCCTGCTGCTGCGCCTTGCAGAAAACAGGGAGCCACGAATGCTGAGTGGTGACTGCAGAGAAAAATAAAAGGTGACATGTGTCTGCTGGGATGCACACAAATAGCAGTGCACTTCACAAGACTGCCACTGCATCCCCGGCCTATGGGCCGCGGACTTTGCTGGTTTCAAGTAAACATGTTTAAGAGCAGAGCAAGTCAGCAAGAAGACAAATTCTCCCAAATAAAGAATGAAATATCTTGAAGAATTTATCCTCAGGACCAGGTAAATTATTTGTGCAGCTGTCTACTGTTACTATTATTTTTTACAATGGCATCTCCATTCTTTATATGCTTATTATTATTATTATTTTGCTACATAGACATGTCACTTAAAAAATTTGGTATTGATACCTATGCTTTAGTGTTTCCATCTTTAAATTCCACAAAAAATCAACACTTTCTTAAATTAAAAAGCTTCTTTGTATGATGTTTGCAATTCCTTTTTTACATGCTGAGAGGTAAATTAAGGCAGGTTTTAAAGAATATTTTAAGTAGCAGGGCACTTATAAAGTCATGAAATATTGGAATCTGGAAAACAAGTTGTGCACTACCAAAAAGGGAGGCGATCATGTTAATATGATTCACATCAAAGAGAAATTGTTTGCATAAATCAGTATCTAATGAAAATTCTTTGGAAGTATCACGTTCAAAAGACATCAGTGCTGACTATCTAAAGGACACGGTGACAGCATTATAAACAATGGAAAATGAGTATGACAAGGTGTTTTCTTGAAAACTACCTTGGGCTTCCATAGTCCTATTTATTTTATAACATCATTTGGATTCATGTTCCTGGTCACAATCTAAATTACAAAACCTCTGAAGGCAGGGACTGCCTCTCTGTTTATTTGGCAGAAATTTACAAACTGAAATAGTAGAAGCTAGAAATTTTGAATGAAAGCAAAGATGAGAAGGATAAAATTTCTGAAATGGGCATTAAACAGCAGTTATGGAGACACGGAGAGGACCAAGGACATTTGTAGGACGAGTGACACTTCAGCTAATGGGTAAAGAGAGAGTGACGTTATGTCAGCAGAAAATGACAAAGAAAATGTCGTCAGTTAGAGAAAACTGCATGTTAGGTGACAAAGGCCTGAATGTCCAAACCTATAGGCAAGAGCCACCACTCTAGTTTGGGGAACCTGAGAGCAAAGGTAAAGAGGGACAGGAATGCCAAGCCAAAGAGAGTTAGTGGCATGGGTAGGAAGTGAGTGGTTTTTCAACTGACTCTTTTCTTCTTTCTCCCTTTTTTTATTTGGGCAGTAGGACAAGAATTTTTTTTTTTTTCATAAGAAAATGGCTTTGGAGGTTGTGTGGTGGAAAGAAATGTCAAGGAAGTAGAAGCAATGTTTCATCATTTTTGTTTTGTTTTGTTTGCATACATCCATAAGCAAGGAGGCCTGATGATGGCACTTTCAGTAGAGAAACAAAGAAAAGGAAAGGGAAATTCACAGGAGCAGAATGAACAGACTAGGGGACTACGAAGCAGATGGAATAGAGTTGGAGACAAATGACCTCAAAGGCATCTATAAAGTTCCACACTGGGTACCTGGTATTCTGCAGAGAGAATTTCTACAGTGGTAACTAAAGAAGATAAACTATATTAAACTTGCTTTTTACCCAGTGTTTAAGACTACAGACGAATAGCAGCTATGGAAAGTAATCCATTGTGTAAACAGTATGTTCATTTTTGAAGTGATTCTTAGTAGTTTGTTTTAGAAAATTTGAGCACTGAAGAAGACATGACAATTCTCAGACTGTAAGCACCTTCAGAAATGAACAACTCAATAGGAAATCTTAGTATATCTTTCTTTTTTCCACAAATGTCCAGACAGATTTTTTTTTTTATCTTTTTGAGACAGGGTTACAGTATGTGGTTCAGGCTGGCTTTGAACTGATTTTGTAGTCCAGGCTGGCCTCAAACTTGCAGAAATTCTCCTGCCTCAGCCTCCCGAGTGTTGGGATTACAGGTGTGTGCCCCCACACCAGGCTTCAAACATTTTTTACCTATGCTTACCAATGAAGCCATTCACATTTCTGTGCTGGAGTCCCCTACCCCAGCTAGAACACCACGATCTTTCCTGCCAGGAGTTTGCAATACCTGATTAGGGGTGGAGAGTCTCTTCTCACGAGCTTGCCTGTGCCCCTCAACACCGAGGAAGAAGCTTTTCCTTCGAATACTTTCCTCCGATTCTGACTTGGACATCTTCTCATCATCTCCCTTTTCCTCCCCACTGGAAAGCTTCTTTTGATTCTTTTTCTTTCTTCTGTTTCTTCTTTCCTTAGCACTTTTGGAACTCAGTTTGGATGTTTCTGAAGAACTCTCTGAGAGGCCCATGATTTGGCTTCGTCTAATACTTGTGTATTCAACTGCTGCTGCTGCAATTGCCTGTTTAACCAAGACAATGCTCACCATAACTCAGGTGAAGACTCTGGAAACCCTGTCACAGGTGCATGTCTCCCACCCACCTAGTTACACTATGCGTGTGATTATATTCTTCATACATGAAGTGACAGTTTTCTTTGCACAATGACCAGAGAGCTTATACATCACATATTTGCTGCTTTTCCCACACTGTAATAAAGTTCAATTGTACTTGGGAATTGAGCTCTTAGACGTTACTAATTTGCTTATAGTAAAGCAATTGTAGGTATTATATGTTAAAGTTTTGTCAGGTAGTTTGGGGACATAAAACTCATATAAGTTGTATAATATATAATGATTTTCTTGATATAATTAACTCAATGTTATCAATTGATCAGACCAGGTTATTGAGATGGCATTATTTGAAAATTCAGATGAATGATTTAAAAATGATTGTATCTACAGAAAACTGTAAGGTCAATGATTATCGTCTTATGCGCCTCTAAGGGCTCCTGAATTGTATCTGGGATAATGTAGTGCATATATCACCTCCGTATGAACATTTTGAGAAACAAAAAACAGGACAATTTTTTTCAAAAAATTGGGAAACTAGATATACATGAAAGAAGAAAAGAACTTATAATCCTACCCCACCAAAATAAATGAGGTTAGTATCTTTCTCCTTTTTTATACATTTATATAATTTTTAATTTCTGAATGTATCTTATTATTTAATCCACCATTATTTAATATCTTTTTCCTCAAGACATATAATGTTCTTAAACACATAATACTATGGTTCATAAATACTCTAAGATACAAAATTATAATCATCCTTTTAAGCATTTTCTAAATTTTCAAAATATGTTTTCTGATTGTTAGATGTATTGAAATACTATGCCGTGTATATTAGTGTATCAAAATACCTCTGCATGAAAGATTATTATTCTGTAGGAATGACATTATATCTCTTGGAGAGATTTAATAAGATCAAATCATCAAAGAAGTTTTAAGACTCTTGTAGTATATTTGAATTTAGGTTTTCTTAATATAAGCCTTCTCAAGCTTTCAACTGAAGAGCATTAAGAGGAATCTTCAAGAATCTGTGACTTAGTTTAAAGTATTTGCAACCATTGATATGATTTTTTTAAATTTCAGATTTTATATTAAAAATATTCACAACATTAACAAAATTGATGCATATTTCTTTGTTGTTTTTTGTTTTTTCATAGACCACATGTTTTTCTTAAATGCTTTTAGCGTAACTGTCACTCTAGGGAAATGCATCATTTATATTATGGAAGCTTGCATGGTCCCATATATTTAAGCACTGCTGGTAATAGTTTTTGGAGCAAAGGCTTGGGACATCTTGTATGGGACAGGGAGTTGATTATGGGAACGGTGTCAATGTAGCCAAGTCCAGAAAGGTTTCCTTCAATCGTAGTACAAATGATAATACAGTCTGTATATAAAACTTAAGGAAAATCTACCTGGGGAAGGTTGAGTACAGACTACAGGGCCTCTGTCATTACCCCTTGCATTTTTACTTCTAGGAAAAATTTTAAACCAAATAACAATACCTCGGCTTCTTCCTGCTCTTTTTTGAGTTGATCTAACATCTGTTGAAATTCTAACTCTTTCTGTTTAGCTTCTTCGATGTTTGCCTGGTTCTGTTCTTCATAGGCCATAGCAACCACAGCCAGAATCAGGTTTATTAGATAAAAGGAACCCAGGAAAATCACTACTACAAAGAAGATCATGTAGGTTTTGCCAGCAGCACGCAGTGTCTGGAAAAAAATGGAGATTGTTGTTTTATTAATACAGTTTTTAAAGTAAATTATTTTGATGTGAATGGTATATCAAGCATGTATAAATTGAGTTGTTTTATATAATCTCATAAAATATTTAAAAACCCAATATTTTCATAGAAAATGATTAATATTAAAACAAACATTATTAATACAAAGGATATAGCAATCTGATAGACCTGTACTAAAATTATATGTAATTCATGATTATTATTATTAAGCATAATAATGTAATAATTCTGTGTTTTTGCTTCTAAGAATCTGAAAATTACTAATAAAACTGTCTTTGATATTCACTTTTAAATTTAGGAGCAGTAATATCTATACTCTTTTTTATTCTTATAATCATATCTTTTCTTTTTTAACATAAAGTATTAATGACAGTGTGTAACGCTAACATAAGAATATAGAAAACCTAAATAAGCTGGTCTGTTTAACTGGTTTGATCACTTTAAAGTGCAATGTGCTTTTTATCATTCATTTAATTTTTTAAGTTCATTCAAATGCATACAATAAGTGAATGAAAATGTCACGTCAAGAGGAGCAGTCATGTCTGAAAGACTCAGGGAAAATCAACACCTGGATAGCAGTGAAGAGAGAAACAGTCTTGAGGACTCACCCCTTGCCCGTTCTGGGAACTTCCCAAATAGCCAGTAAGAACCACGGAGGCTGCAGAGACTAGTTGCCCAGGACAGACTCTGTGTATGCATTCTCTCCATCGCCCCTCTCCAAAGCAAGCTGCAACCCAGTAGCATTCTCCCAGGACCCACTAAGGGCAAGGGAAGCTCCATCTCTCTCTTCTAACCTCAGGCAGTGAAAGAATACTGACTTCCAGGGCCACTGGCTGCTTGCTCCTGAAGTCACTATCTAGTACCTTGCATCAGGACTAGCCCCATTCATGCAGTAACTGAGTTCCCCAGGCATGGCCGAGTCACTGCAGGGTCCCTCAAGTTTTTCTCATGCCTGCCATGATCTCCATCGAGCACACAGAGCTGACACTGGATCCCTCTGAGTCTGAACTGTTATATTTATTAAGTAAATACAAAATAGGGCAGAGGAAGAATATAGCAATTCTGAGAAAATAATTCATTATTTATCATAACAAATTTTCATTTCAGTCTCTTTCCTGTTAGGATTGGGTACCGAGAACACACACATTAACAGTGTCTTGGATCCAGGAGGTTCACACTCACGTTGGAGACAAACAAAAATTACAGTGAAAGAGATCAAAGCGATGAACTGATGCAAGTGTTGAGCAACTGACTTGGGAGAGGGGAATTTAGAGAAATGAATTTTTACCTGTGAGTAAGACTTGCAAATAAACCATGGTTGTCACGTGAGCATAGGTAAGCCACATGAGTTCAAGACAGCCCAGCCAAGCACATGAGGAAAGTGGTACACATGTAGACTGGGAAGAATATTATAGTGTGCTTCCTGTTATTTTCCTTGGATCACATGCATTGATATATTGAGGAAGATAAATGATCTAAAGATCAGTTTTCTCCAGAAAGGACAAGAAAATATTTATAACCTGAGAACTACCTGCTCTAATGATGCTGGGATAAAACAATTCTAATTTTAATAACAAATGGTAGCATTTTCTCTACTCTCAAAAGAGTTGTTAAAAACCACAATTAAAAGCTGGCAGACAACCAGCACTACATTTTTATGTCATTCAGAACTGCATGTTTCTCTTAACACTCACTTGCTGGTAAAGGTTTTCCCAGTAATCCTGTGTCATTAGCCTAAACAAGGCTAAGAAAGCCCAGCTGAAGGTATCAAAGCTTGTATAGTCATAATCTGGGTTTCTGCCCAACTTCACACAGGTGTACCCTTCTGGACACTGCCTGCAAGGAAAAAGAACATTACCGGTTGGAACGTCTGCAGGATACAGGTAAAGAGCACTTAAAAAAAGTTACAAAGTTAAGGTTCTGTACATAGGGAAAAATACTGAGCTACAATTAAGTGCACGTGATTTGGAGTCAGGAAACCTGGGTTTAAATCTCATCCTACTGTTCACTAGTTTGACCTTGTCAAATTATTTAAATGTTGTCAGATACAGTTCTTTCTTGAAAACAGGATAAAAACATATAACTTTAAGAAGATAAGATTAGTATTAAATTGAAATAAGACGAACAGTGCAGATTTCTTTATCTACTTACTGCATACGGGAAACATTTTATGAAGAGACATTCTAGGAAAAGCAAGAATAAATTCTCTGCTGCAAAATGAAGTTGTATAAAAGAACCAGTAAGGCAGATCACATGGACTTGAGTCACGATAAGTGATCCTTTTCTGTAGCGTGGCCAAAACATTACACTCAGTGACCCAAGAGTAGTATTTAATTGGAGAATGAATAAAACTTTGAGATAAAATGAAAAATTGATTCTGTTACTCTTCTTCCTGGAAAGAAGAAAAGTCTGACACTATTTGACCAACTTTGATAAGGTTATATGTAAATAAGTTTTCTATCTTTGTAAGATTTACAGGACTCACAGCTTTTTAAAATTCAAACTCTACCCCAAACTCCTGCTTTCAAGCATGTACATTAGCTATAAACACTTTTAAATCCTGTTTCACTGTGGGACTCACTGAGTAACAGAATGCCAAAAAATGTATATTAACAGTATAGAATCAAGGGTTCTGATCAGCAATCTCATTACACATGATTTTTCAATCTTTTTAAGCTTTCAGAAGAAAAAAACAAATATTACATACCCTGAATCTGTGCTGTTACCACAGAGGAGAGCGTCTTTGGATCCCTCCAAATAATAAACATATTCTGTTTAGGAAGAATTTGAACAATATAGCGTTTAGTATAAACTAGAAGAGAGAGCAAGTAAGTCAAGTGTATCTGGGTGATCTCAACCAATGAATACCATTCATTTATTGTTCTTTCACATACACGCTTCAAATATTTACTGATAAATTCTTATGGGCCAGGCAATAGATATGATGGTAAACAAGGTAAGATTGGCAATTTTGCAAGGCTTTCTTTCTGTCTAGGTGTAGAAGTTCTGGAGAAGAAAGACACAACTATTTAACAAATACATAGCATCATTTATTACACAGTGAAAAACTATGTTCATGACCTCAATTGTCTTCAACTCTAGTCACAAGCCAAATTGGACAAATTTCCCCAAAAGGTCAACATTGAAGCTAAACACAGAATGTGATTCAGTTCTTGGCCTCTTCAGTTTGCAACCTGAATCATGGAGAGAATCAAATTCATGAACTGAGGTACCACTGTACTCTAGAGAAAACAAATTCAGATAATGTGATAAGCTGTGGTGTGAAAACTTTCTAAAACATAACACTTGAATAGGCATCTGGATGGAGTGAGGACAGCAGCCATGAGGGGGCTCTGGTGAGGAGGGATTTGGGGAGGGGGAGAGAGAAGGTAGGTGCTGCATAGCAGAGCTCAGGTTGATGTAAGGAGAATTAACAGGACAGCCAGGATGGCCACTGTGAGAATAGTAGGGGGTTTTCACGACAGAGGCATGCAGAGGACAGATCGTGAAGTGTTTTGAAGATCATGAAAAGAAGTTTGGGTTTAAGGTGTAACTGAAAATAGTGGAAGTGGACAGTGGTCCTACCAGACACCACAAGCATTTTGAAATGCCCTGGTGGTTGCTTTGCGCAGTAAAGTTCAGAAGCACAAGTTCAGAAACAAGGAGACATACTAAGGGAACGTAGTAAGAAATGTTAAGCTTATAACCCAGAAAACAAGTCTGGATATGGAGAACAAGGGGTGGAAATGTGGGGGATAAGGCTTGCTGATGGAGGAAATATGGGGTGTATGCCTGGGAAGACAGACAGTGGTTCCAGCTACTAAGATGAGGAGGTCAGGAGTAGCAGGAAGAGCTCTTTTTTTAGCCATGCTTAGTTTGAGATGGTTATTAGGTATGAAATGAAAAGTTTCAAATAGAGAGTTTGACTGATAGGAGAATCTGGAGGTCAGCAGGTCAATCAAGGATAGAGCCATCATCAAGGAGATGGATGAAATTTAAGGAGTTTTCCCAGAGCTAGAGAAGGGGAAGAAAATGAGGAAAGGAATGTATACAGGGAAGAAGGAAAGTGTCTCAGCTACTTTTTTTGTCTTAGTTATTTTTCACTCATCACTGAGACAAAATACTTAATGCCCAAACTTAGAGAAGGAATGGTTTATTATCTACAGTTCTTGGAGGTTGCAGTCCATACTCAGGTGGCTCCAAGGCGGTGTCGCATGGTGGGGCCACAGTTCATGGCTGTTGCAAACAGCAAGGAGCAACCAGGCAAGATGGAGAGACACACCTTCTTCATGCCCTTACATCATACCCTGGTTCCACCTCTAGGCGAGTGTAGCACTCACACCACCAAACTGAGTGCTAGACAACGAGCCAATCACAAACGCATAATTGCCTGAGGATTGGGGCCACTGACATAAACCATGACAGAGACAAAAGGAAGAAAAGGCTCCCCTAGCTGAGTTCCAAAGTACTCCAGATGAGACAAAGGAATCAGCAAGGAAGTACTATAAATGAGCAAAATTTGTTTCTGAACTTCTGCTATTATTCATTCATCAATCAATATTTATTTTGGATGTATTAAATTTCAGGTGTTGAGGATATGACAGTGAAATAAATTCATCCCTTATGTTTTTTTGTAGCATACTTTTTGCCTGTTTTCAAAAGTAAAGTGATCCTGTTCTCTGTCATTCCTGAGTAAGGCTCACTGCTACCACCTGGGGCAGATCTAACCTCCAGTAGTAAATGGATAAAGAGCTACTGAAACTCTTCTAATCGCCTTCAAATATCCCTCACTGAGAAACTTGTAACAAATATCCATTCTTTTTAATAAGGACACAAATTTCTGTGTGGCTCAAGTAAAAGAAAAATATGATCTTTGGGAGATTTTTAGACTTCTAATGGAATTAAGACATTGAAGACAGATATTCTTGGATTTCAGTACTGCTTCTATCCTTTCCTACCAACTGAATTATCTTTATTTCCTCAAGCATCAGCTGCTGCATCTATAAAATGTGGTTAAGAATATGTACTTTACAGGGTTGCTGAATAGAATACAGAGTCTAATGCATGTAAAGTGGTAACAGTGATGGACAAATATGGCACTAATTGTTGGAAGACGGGAGCTATCATTAATAAACTATTGTACATTTTCAGAGCAGACCAATTGATTTCACTCTGTTTCACTTCTAAAATAACCATAAAACAGTGAAGCTTCATAGTTCAAGGTGAAAATCTAAATTATAATGTACATAAATATCTTATTTGAAAACATTCTGTGCCTCAGGGATGAAGGATCTGAGAACACAAGAATAGGAGAGGTGGCTAAGGTGTGTTATCTGGTTTTGTTGTTGTTATTGGTATATATAAGTAATATAGAACAATAAGATTTTGATATATTGGTACATGCCAGTAAAAATTCTGAATTTTAAATCCCATTTACCCTGTCTTTCCCTCCCATCTCTCTCTGATCCTCTTCCTTATTTCTAAAAATATTTTCTAAAAATACGTTTTCTTGTTACCCTTGGTTGGTTTGCTTACTAATACATTTATATAATACTTTCTAAACAAGGAGACACTGAATTAATAGAATAATTGATTTTAAAATCATTTACTTTGAATAGCTAAGGAGAAGAGAAACTAAAATGTAAAGAGAAATAAAATTTGCAAAATGGATTCTGAAAGATGATGAATCATAACTCATTAATTCCACCATTTGCATGCACTGAGAAATGAAAACATATCCACCCCAAAACTTATACATGAGTGTTCACAGTAACATTAGTCTCATAACTGAAAACAACCAATTGGTTGGAAACAACCAACATCTATCAACTGTTGAATGTATAAGCAAAATATAATACAGGGACACAACATAATATTTTTCAACAACAAAAAGGTAGGAAATGCTGATATATACTACAAGATGATAAACTTTAAATATTATGCTAGGTCAGTAAAGGAAGTAAAGCTAGAGATTGTTCCATTCCATTTATAGTAAATGTGCCGACCAAGTAGATTCAGGGAATAAGTACCTTAGTGCTTGCCAGGGAATGGGCGTTGGGAAAAAAGTGGTTCATAAACTGTAACAGGCTCTGGACTTCTTTTGAGGGAGAAGAAAATATTTTGAATTAGATAATGGTGATTATTGTGCAACTCTGTAAATATGACAAAATATTTTAAAAGGGGGAGCCCTTTGGAACATGGATTACTTTTTCAATAAATATATTTCAAAAAGACAATTCAGTATAACAAAAAGATTGTGTATAATGGTGGGATAAATTGCAACTTCTTAGAAAAAATTCACACAAGAGAACAATAAGAAATTATGAAAATTGATATAACAAAAATCTATAGTTAATATTTATTCTAGTAAAGATCATTGCAGAAATTTTTATTAATTTTCAGATCAGTAGAGTGAAGTAATAAAATATAATTCTATGGTTAGGTCTGTCTGCCCTCACTGAGAAACTTGTAACAAATGCACATGGCTTGGGCCTGCAGAGGGGAGGTATGTTTCTCAACCAAAGACGAATAAAATAACTGGGGAAACCAGTGCTTGGAATCAGATTGGGCGGAGTGTCTACAAGTGCCTTACAGCATTCTGCAAGGTTTAGTCTGCAAACAAAAGATCTGCAGGTGGAGACAGGAAATCTCTGTTAGAAGCAAAGAGCAGTATTGTGGCTTTTCCATAAGCCTCTATTAAATATGAAGCATTCAGAAAATAGGAGTAAAAGAGCATCTCACTTTAGCCCAACTCATGTACTTTAGTACATCACTTACTGGAAATGCAGCAACAAACTACATGATCTTACTTTCATCTATAGTAAAAACAAAAGGTGTTTGAGGAGCATCAGAGCAGATAATGAGTCATAACTAGAAAAATCTATAAATTGTGCATTTTTAAACAGAAAACTACACCTTGATTGTTTTATTTGAAAATGGGTTTTGAAAAACACCTCTAAAAAGGCCATGGGAACAAGAACATGCTGGAGATACTGTTCAGCTTTCTTTGTAGGTTGCTTTTACCAGGATAATTCTTCGATATCTCAGGAATGCCACTGCACTGAACGCATCCCTTGCCGTGATCTATCAAGAAAATCTTGAGTTCACTTCTTTCTTTGTCTCGTTTAAACCCACAGGTATACATTATCATCCCCTTGACCTACACATAATCCAGAAGCATCTTTTCCATGGTTGCTTCTAAGTAGCTAAATATTGGTGGAGAAATTCTCATAACCAAGAGAACTGTTACATATTAACTGAATTATATTCAATATCAAATTGGGGTTCAAAATAATTTCAATTTCTCATTCTACAAATAAACAGAAATTCTTTTCTCTAACATGATTATGTGCTGCAAACTCTCTGTAGGAATTTTTCCTTCCTTTTCCAGTCTCAGTCAATGATTCCATTATATATTTCTTGGAGAAAATAAAAACCATAGGCTTAAATAATCACCTTTTAATAACTGTTAATAATCCCCATCTTTCTGCTCACATCAGTAGAAATGTTTCTCCTTTCTGCTTTTTCACTATCTCAAAAGCCTGGCTTCTTCCTGACTACCCTAAATTATTTGATATATTATACTCCTATCAATTCACTTCTAGCATTAAGAAAAAGGATCTACAAAAACCCATGTTTAAAAAATACTAGTGATTGTCACATTATTCTGATCTTTTCAGTAAAATTTCTTGGAAAAAGTTTCACCCGTACTATTTTTTCCTCTTTTGACTTCTTACTCATCTGTGTAATTGCCTTGGTTTGATCTTGTGCATGTACTGCTTCCACACTTTCCTCACGAATATCTCCTATACATTTTATGTTGCTTAAGAATAATGGATACTGATCTATTTTCGCCCTTAGTCCTTGGTTTTGCAGTATCTTTCTTTACAAATATTCCCTTTTCAAAATATATTTTATTGTCTTGAATTCATTATTTGTATCTTTGTTTTCTTCTTCCTTAATTGACTATTTATTCTTTGTGTCCGTTTTGGGAGAAGAGTCCCTGTGTTTACTTGAATGCTAAATATTAGAGTTGTGGAATCGATTATGTTCTAAATATCAGAATATCTCAAAACACCTCATTGTCTATCATCTTCTTGATTATAAACATCTCTCCTTGCATGTCCTTTCTTTTTGCCAGTCACTTCAGAATTTGTATCACAAAAGCACGCCAGTTCTTCTGATCTATACACTTTAATCTCCAACTATCTACATTTCCCTTTGGACATCTCGAGGATGTCCGAAGTTCAGGTTAGTAACACTGACTGTCCCCTAAAAACCTGGCTGCCTTTCCCTTACTAACCACAGCTACCCATCCAGTTACTTCAGCCAGAAATGGAGATGTTACCTTCTGCTCTCTCACACTGACAAATCACACCATGAGAAAACAGTTTTAAAATTTATAATTCAGAGATTTGCCGTTTGCTTACTTCCCAGTGTGACCAGAAATTAAAGTCATTAACAATTAACAATTCTAATAATGTAGTATCTAAAATTACTAGAACTTATTAAAAATTCTATATGCAATGTATTCAGAGGCCACGATGTGCTTTTGGCAATCAAAAGCTATGACATGTCAAGATGCTTATTTTTGCACATGTAAAAAGCACATAAACTTTGTCCCAAAGTAAAATATCTAGTTATTTTAAAAGAAGGAAAAGGTATTGTATGGAATAAACAACAAAAAGACTATCATATTGGGAAATAAAGTGAAAGAAATTTTATGTATGATCAAAGGGACTAAATGTGAATTATTTATGAATTTTTAAAAAAATGTACATTAATGTTAAAAGTACCCTAAAACTAGAATTGTTCTTTTCTATTACAACAAGATTTTCTTCAAGTTTTGGTTTGGCCTTAATGAAAAACTGTGGAAAGGTTTTTTTTAACTGTGTTAGGTTTAGAAAACAAAAATTTTGCTGTAGCAAAATAATTTCCAGTGCTTCCTGTTGTATTTATTAGGATTTTGATGGCTTAAGAAAACTGAGATCTTGATTAAAAGAGCTATGTTTTTACTATGACTTTAACATTTTTGCATATGCCTTTGAAATCTTTAAACTGTCACTCTTTTTGAAAAAATGACTGTCATTCAAATGACTTGCGATTCTATTCTGATTATTTTTAAACCTTGTGATGTTTTTGACTAAATTTTCTCTCTTTCTCTTTTTATTTTGGTACCAGGGATCAAACTCATGACTGTGTGCTTGCAAGTCTGGCACTTTTGCTGCTGAGCTAAATCCCCAGCCCCTTTTTTTCATCTTTAATTTTTTGAAAAAATTTTCAAAATCAGATTCTAGATTAAAAATTTTTACTTATCTCCAAGTAATTTTGGCAATTTTCAGATGGATCCACAAAGATCTCTTCATAAAAGAACTATTTTAAGCTAATTAGATTATATATATATATATATATATATATATATATACATATATAAAATTATAAAAGAAGCACTGTCAAATAATAAGCATTGCAAAAGCTTTTTAGAGTTATATGGATGTGTCAGTAATATGCATCCCAAAAGAGCTATGGAATTTCTAGAATTCTGAGCATTCTCAACTCATTGACTGGACTGGGTAAAAATGTCAAAATTGTAATGAAGGAATTGATTTCTTTCATAAAACTGAAAAATAATTAATTAAATACCAAAGAAATGTTTTGGCAGATTTTTATGCTAAGTCAGCTAGTGCTGAAATTGTTATCGTATACAATTTAGTTTAATTGAGTTACTTATGATTATTTAACAATGCTTTGAAACTGATTGAGAGAAATGAGAGTATTATTCTATTTTATTTTATTACTATTATTATTATTATTATTATTGATACCAGGAATTGAACTCAGGACCTTGCAAATGCCAGTCAGGCACTGTGCTGCTGAGCTATGTCCCTGGCCTAAGAGTAGTTTTTAAATGGAATAAATGTAACAACTGTAGACTCACAGAAAATCTAGATAACTGCTTGATCCAGAGTCCTTAAAACTTCTATTCTTAAAAGCTCTGCATTCCATGATTCATCATGACAAAAACATAAAAAAAATTGTTGAAGTGACTGTTGTAATACTGTTAAAGTGGTTTCACAGCCAATGTTTAGTTTGTCAAACTCATAAATTTTATGATTAAAAAATCTGTCTCAAGCATTTACTGCTATAGCTGAATTTACTGCAAACCAGAACTGTTAGAAAACAAAGATCAGAAAAATACATAAAAATATTTATAATGTGATAAAAACCCACACCATAGTAACATTCTGTATACATGAATAGGTTTGAAATAATGAAATTAAGTGAACATTTAATTGATAGAAGGAAACAAAGCTATTTGCGTTACTTTACTCTATTAATAGCTACAGGGGCATTCTTACTTTTCAGTTCTTCATTCTTAAATTTATCCAGCATGCTGATAGCTGTTTCATTCTTTGCAATTTCATCCTGCAAACATTTTTGCTTCAGGATTCCCATGAAGAGCTGCAGTCCTATTAGCGCAAACACGCTCAGACAGAACACAGTCAGGATCATGACATCTGACAGCTTCTTCACCGACTGGATCAGCGCCCCCACGATGGTCTTCAGGCCTGCAAATGGAGAAAGTGTTCATGATGATGTAACGTCTTGGAATGAGACACAAAGCAAACACAGGCTTCCTTAGAGATGCATGCATTTTGTCAAGTCAGTGACTGTAAGTAATTTAATTCAAAAGAGCTTAGAGGTTTAAAGGGGTGGACTTGCCATTTTATAGGCACAATGTTTTCAAGTATCAAAACAAATTATTAAAATTGTAAAATATTTCTGAAAATATTCAAGTTATCAAGCAAATAATTTGGTTGCTCAAACCATATTCATATTCACTTATAATTTTATAATTTCTAATTTAACAAATGCTTGTCAAACAAACCATCTCTCTGTAACGGTACCAAAACAAATAAAAGCCTGAATTACACCACATAATGACAAATTATACTGAACTAATTTTCAATTAAGAAATAGTTTGTTGAGAGACATATTAAGCAGTGTGTCATGCAATAGCCCCATGCTGCTATTTCCTATTTTCCTAACCATGTGAAAAACAACTAAAAGTAGTTGAAATTTTCCTTCTTGGAGAAGCAGATGGAAAATGATCTCTTAGGAGGGAAAATTTCAAGTGGAGATGTGAGCTCAGTGTTCATCTTCATCCTCTAAGATTCATGCAACTGATTAAACTCAAAAGCTGACTTTTAATAATAGTTGTGAAAAACAGAATCAAATTCAATTAAAATCGCTTGCATGACTTTTTTATTTTCTTCAAAAGATGACAGTCAGCCCTTGTGTTTAATCCCACTCTCACCTGGAATGACTGAAATAGTTTTCAGTGCTCGGAGAACTCTGAATGTTCTCAACGCTGAGACATTGCCCAGGTCCACAAACTCTGTCACATATCTGTAATGGGGGAGTTTATACACAAACACAGTGACAACACACACACAAACAAGGAACAACTCCCAAACAGTTGGAGTTACAAGTAGCCTAGTAGTCCACGCCAATCACTTCTTACCTGGAATTACAGAAATAGTTTTCAAAGCTCTCAATACTCTGAAAGTTCGAAGAGCTGAAACATTGCCTAGGTTTACAAATTCTGTTAAATACCTGTAGAATTAAATCAGAGTTATTCAGAATTTAGATAGAGTTTGTGATACTTACCTGTGCCTTTAGACATGGTATTTTCTATGTTTGGGAGGCTTTTGTAATGCTTTTGTAAAGGTATATAGTTTTGCAAATCTTTTTTTTCTATCATAATCAATTGGTACTAATTCGCTTTGAATTGATACATTGGATACAATAATACAAATAGTAAATTATTCATGCAGTTCCTACACTCAAATGCTTAAATAAACAAATGCAGTAACAGTAACTTTTCAGTATTATGATAACATGGATTTTTAATATCTTAAAAAACATTGAAAATGTTATAGTTTGCAAAAGCAGAAGAACACACAAACACACACACAAATCATTCATACTGCATGATTTCACTCATATGAATCAAGCAGAATAGGCAAATCCATACAAAAATAAAAATATCATAAATTAGTAGTTTTGAAAGGCTTTGTGGAGGAGAAAGAAGTGGAAGTGACTAAAAATGGCTTGTCATCGCCTTCTTTTTAGGACAATAAAAATGTTCTTGATTTAGACAGAGGTAGTGGTTTCACAACTTTGTGAATACACTAAAGAAACACTTAATTCCATACTTTAAAAGGTGAACATCATGTTATGTGAATTTTATCAATAGAAAAAAAGATGAGTAATAAAATTATCCAATCTGGGCACAATGTTTTTTTATCGGCAGGCAGCAAATGAACTGCAGCATCATACTGACCTAGAATGAGGGGGTGTCAGCGGGAGGCAATCAGAGAGCAAAATCTTAGGAGCCTTCTGAATTGTCTGAGGGGCTCCAATTTATATGGGTTCCTTTTATAACTTAAAATTATAAAAGGAAAGTATTGTATCTAGGTTTAGCATTTAAAATAAGTGTTTTAGACAAGTACACTTGGGGAAAAGAATAACAATGAATATGTTACATTTATATTTTAATGTATGTAATTGTTTCCCCCTTGGAAACAAGCTGTAGATGTGTATGCAATGTGCCCGCAAGGCAATAGCATTAGATTTAGAAAGTAGTGATGACTCCTGTAAAAGTATCATTCCTCTATTTTATTAGACATATTAGTCCTTGAATAGCAGACTAAAGAAAAGAGCATTGTATTTAGAATTGACGACCTAAGGATCAGTGTGTGTGTGTGTATGTGTGTGTGTGTGTGTGTGTGTGTGTGTGTGTGTGTGTATCTATGCTTCTTACAGATTTTTGAGATTTTAGGTAAGATCTTGGAAAAGTGTGCACCTACATAGCACCAAATGGATGATCCACTCAAGTCTTGATCTAATTCTTCTCTGAAAAAAATGTAGTATTTATCTTTTAATAACTAGCTCTCACTTTTTTTCAAATTCAAACACTATATATAGGAAAAAAGTGAAACCCCAAGACTTTTTTTTATTAGATTACTGCAATAGTTGAAATTTTCATCAATTTCTATTTCAAAAGAAGAGTACTTACGCAAAAACAATCACGACAAAATCCAGCCAGTTCCATGGATCCCGAAGAAAAGTGAATTCTCCAACACAAAAACCTCTTGCAAGGATTTTTATAAGTGACTCAAAAGTGTATATTCCAGTAAAAGTGTACCTGAACACAAGATTCCATTGGGACATTAGATGTGAAAAGGATATAGCCTTACATACATGAATAAAAAAAGTAGACATCCTTTGGAAGCTGTTGTTGGTAGTATATGAACCCATACTTAACTTTATAATGCATTAAAGGTCTTTCCAGAAAAAGCTTAGCATGTACTTATCAGGCACACTCTCAGAAAGTAGCAGTACATAAAATAACTAATATCATTGATATTAGATCTGCCTGGAAAATTCCTAGATTGCATCTATTAAAATCTATGCCAAAGTAAGAGATCTGTAACATGCTTAAGAACAAAGTAGAGGATCTGGTAGGTTTGTTATTCTAGAAAGCTTGCAGCATCTAACTATTCTAAACTACTGATAGTGATTTAATTCATAAGAGTAGAAAAAAACTGAAAGAAAAGTAACTATACAACATGAGAAAATAAACATTGTAATTTTTATAGATGTCATTAACTTTCTGATATGAAAAATAAAAGATAAAAATTATAATACAATTATTTTTAAATATACTTTTGCCCACTTACTCTACATTTTTGGTCCAATCTGGAGGGTTACTCATGGTCATAAATATGCAGTTTGTCAGAATAGTGCACATGATAAGCATGCTGAATAAGGTGGTTTAGAATCAAGGAACATGATAAAGAGATTACAGCAAGAACTTCAAGTATTTTACAATGACAGTTGGTGAAATGATAGTTCTAAGGTCTCCTTAGAAAATAATCTAAATATTCTTCTAGATTACTTTTTTAAGCACTTTGAACAAAACATTAAAGTGATACACCCTAAAATTCCAATAATGCCATTTTGTCAGTCACCTTCAAGGCTTACATCAATTTATGCTGAAATTGACAAGTGATGTTGTTCACAATGCAAAAGGACTAACATCTATATTTTTTAAAAGTGGTAAATTTATTCTTTAAAGCATCATTTCAAATAAGCAATTTGGAAAGGATATGAGTGGACTAAAATTTTAATAGATATTCTTCTGAGAGGACTGAAGGGAGATAGTATGTACAAAGCAGGTGTGGCATTGAAACGGAAGATTGCTTTCCCTTTGTTCAATACTATAAAAGTCTGCAGAGACAAAAGCAAACACACAACAGTTAGAAGTTGAGAATCCAAAATTTTACTCTAGCACATCAAATGTGGTTTACAACTCCTCATCACAGTAGTAGTATTCAAGAAACACAGCTGTAAGTTCCAGGCAACATGGTGACTGTCAATAACAACTTGTCCAATGAGCTAAAGTCCATTTCTGTGCAATAAATTAATGGTTGAGGTATTTATAAGTCTGTATTGCTTACAAAAATATTTTCACACATTTTCTTTTTCATAGTCCTCAACAGAAACAATAGCAATAATGTATGATCGTGGAAATTAACTTAAAATACAACTTCATCCTATTACACTGCACTTTAAATCAATCAGATGAAAATTAACTTATCTTTGATTTTTTTTTTTTTGTCTTTTTCGTTTTTTTTTATCGGTACCAGGGATCGAACTCACAACTGCCTGCTTGCAAGGCAGGTGCTTATGCCGCTAAGCTAAATCCCCAGCCTCCTTATCTTTGATTTTTACCACTACATTTAGAGAATGTTAACACTTGCTTGCAATTGTCATGGTTAATAGCAAATGAGTTTTTCCAAACATATTTTTTATGGATTTATAGATTTGGAAAAATAGTTCTAATTACTAAGTTCAGCTAATGAGGGACTTCCCTCCCCATACTTAATGTACTACTCATCTATAAGGAAGGATAAACTTGAGGCTTTTAGAAGGAAATGGATACAAGTTGAGATCATATTTATAAGTAAATCAGACTCATAAGTATAAACATAGCATTGTCTCCCTAGTGTAAGAAGCTGAAAAAGTAAATAAGATCCAAAATGTACAACAGATATTGGGAAACGGGAAGAAACTGTTTAAAAAGAAAAAGATACTAGAATGGCAGAAAGGAGAGAAGAAGGAAAGGAAAAGGAAAAATAAATATATATACATAAAATAGTTAAGATAGTTATACTACTAATGGCTATTAGTTCATTGAAAAGAAAGATTTGTGTCTACATTGTTTGATCAATTTTTGATGGCTATATCTTGCAATATGAGCATCAATTTTGAAAGTAACAATAATGCAATGTACTACAATCTTACTTTGAAATTTTATGACATTGTTTTTTCTTTAAAATAAAAAATCAAAACAAGCAAACATAAGTAGCAAACACAGAGCATTAAAATATCTAAAAGCACTGGGTTGAAAATCGGAAAGACCAAGTTAAAATCCCTGTCAAGGTAGGAAAATTACTTGTGTCACTTGGAAGGCACTGACTTAGTCTTTTTGGTTGTCTTGTTTAATGTTTCTTTTATAAGAATGTATTAGTCTGTTCTAGAAATATACATTTTCCTGAATTTTGTTGACAAGTTCATGAATCTTGATTTTTACTTGTAAATAGT